TTGCAAAAAGCTCTATCTCTCTCATTGAGGTAGTTTTATTTTGTTGGCAAAACAGGAGAGTTTTGTCACCAAAAGTGGCATTGCAGCTTGTACACCTCCACTGTTCTGGCATCAAAGCTTTCTTTTGTCAAAAAATCTCTAGTGTAGACAAAGCCTAAGGCCATGTCTACATTACAGTAGCAGCACTATGGTGCTGCAGCAGTGCTGCTGTAGCATAGATGCTTTCTACTTCGAGAGAAAATGTTTTCCATTGATGTAGGCAATCTACCTCCCAAAGAAGCAGTAGCTATGTTGGCGGAAGACTCTTAATCAATCTAGCTGCATCTATAGTGGGGTTATATCCACCTAACTATATCACATGGGGCATAAACTTTTCACAGCCCTGACTCATGTAGCTAAGTTGATCTACTTTTCAGGTGTAAACCAGACCTTAGAGACAGAAGTCTGGAATACTGACTGAGTTTAGCAATTATGCAGAGCTGCTGATGGCTGCTTATTGATTTAGATTTTCAGGACAGAACTAGTTAGCCAGTTTATCACTAATAAAATCCAACAGAGAAAAAAACTTCTTGTTTCAGTCTGAAACAGGATAGGAAAAAAAAAAAACACTGGAGCAGGAAATATTTTTCCCCAATCAAGAAGCATCTTTTCACAGAAATTCAGAAAGTGATATTTAAAGCCTTGTGTACTCCCACACAGTTTTTTTCCTAAAGGCAAGTATACTGTAGACAACGATGGGAGATGACATAACCACATGAGGAGTCAGGGTGACAATAAAAAACAAAAAGAAAAGGAGTACTTGTGGCACCTTAGAGACTAACCAATTTATTTGAGCATGAGCTTTCGTGAGCGTGAGCTGTAGCTCACGAAAGCTCATGCTCAAATAAATTGGTTAGTCTCTAAGGTGCCACAAGTACTCCTTTTCTTTTTGCGAATACAGACTAACACGGCTGTTCCTCTGAAACCAATAAAAAACAAGTTGCACCCTGAACCTTAAGAAGTGTTCAAAAAATTAAAAAGTAATATAAATTCAAAGTGGCACTTGGCAACTGTTGGATTACTCTATTGTAAAGCAGAAGAAAACACAAAACTGTCCTTTGTAAATGTTGGTCCTTATCTGTGTCTTGATTGGGCTTTTACCTTTCCTTGTGCTCCAAAGAAAGAATGGAGGAATCTGACTTTAGCCCCTCTCTAGTAATGGCCAGAACTCTGCTGGGAGCATTATTATCTAGAATCAGGAAATGCCCTACAGTAGAGCTCCAATAAACATACTGAAAACCTGTGTTTTCTTTTAAAGGGATTATGCTGATCTGACATTGTCAATCAACTCCTGAGAAACTATACCCATGAAGTAAGTTAGTTCTCAGAGCAGCATTCAGTATTTAACTTATAACAGCATGTTATTCAAGTGAGCGGTCTTCCACACTGGAGCACCTTCATGCCTCCCAATAAGGTGACGTAGGTTAAGGTCAAACTCCATGTATAAAAATGATAACTTTTATTCCAGATTTAGGGTTAGATTCCACAGCCACTGAACTCTGGAAGCCATTGAAATAATTTTGTTATTGATTTAAAAGCAGCAATTCTGGCAGAGAAGTCATAGTCACTAAGAGAGAGAATGTATATATAAACTCACACACTTGCTATGCATATATTCTAATATATTCCCCCCCAAAACAAAACATAAATCGTATCTTTAAAGCACATATCTAATGGCAAAAAATTTAGTCCCAATGTACAAACACACTCAACTGTTTTATAGTTCTTTAAATCAAAGATAGCCCATTAAGATATGTTTGTTTTATTTGGGGAAGGACAAGTAATCTACCAAAAACGAGTCGTAAATTACAAATCTGTTTTAATTTCCTATTTCAGCTTTTAAAATGGGATATTATTCTCAAATTATAACAAATCCTCAACAATTTCCCATTTTACAGTATTTGGTTTGATTTTAGCAACAGCAATTTGTTAATGTTTTGAATCTTTTTAGATTCAGCTGATTAAATTGAAGTCACACTAACTGCAATTAATAATTTTGATCATCTAATAGTCAAGCAATGGTTGCATGATTCTAGAACCTCTTTTGCATCTGTTATCAGATTCCATTAGTTTGATTTTCTATTCTGACCAATAATGATAAATTGAGTAGACTAAAATTGAAAACTTGTGTACACCTGAATCTGGATTTCAAATATTTGAAGATATTTCCATTGACCATTCAAGAAACTTTATAAGTACAAAATGAATACTTGTTATGGTATCCAGTTTCAGAAGCAATCTGCACCAGAATGCTGTTCAAAGGGACTATAATAATCAAATCCCAAGGATCAAAAATAGTCTAACATCAACTTCAGCTGCATGAAAACATGCCATTTGCACATCCTCTCACATTCATAGCATTTTACAATACTGAGCAATGGATCAGAGAGCATGCTTTGTTCTTCATAAACTATCAATAAAATATTGAACTCTTTAAAAGAGAACTTTTTAAAATATCACTAAACTCCAACTTTGAATGAGTTAAAACAGGAAAGTGGATTACGTCACTATTTCAGATGACAACTGGAAAAATCAGTTTTACAAAATGCGTAAGTACTCTCAGAACAGGGAAATTAATTTTAAATAGGAAATAAAAAGGTTATTAGAAACAAACAGATGTGGCATTTCACTAGAGAATGAAATTAGAAATCTATGAGAAATATGTATTGTAAGGAATGTACATGAACTGAGTGGCTAATTGGCTGAAAGAGCTCCAAGATGAATCATTATGAAAAAACTCACTAATTATGAAATCCATCTCACTCAACTCTTTGTTATCTTCCTTTTCTGTATCCAAAAACTCACATGAACAAGGGCAGAATTATTGTACATCTAGTTAACAAGTTATACCAAGTTATTGACTTTTAGTTCACAAAGCACCTGAAAGACTGCTAATATTCACCACTTGAGTGATCTAAGATTACCATTCAAAACAACACTGCTATAATTCTGAAATTAGTGTTGCTTTTCTAGACCAAGCTAAAAGAGCTGCTGTGTATCAGTGGAAATCTGACTCTGGCTCTCATTTAAAAAAAAAAAAACACACACAGGTTTCCACATTTAGCAGCCCTACCTTATCTCAGACTAACTCTAAAGGCACTTCTATAGCCCTAATTTACTTCCCTTTTACTATTTTGCAGGGAACATCATTGTTTCATCATTTTAACACCTGGTGAACTGGTCAACATAATTTCTTGCTCATTCGATTTAACAGCAAACTATTGAAATTATGCAGATCTGAAAGAAAGTGGGGAAACAACAGCCTTACTTGTTATAATCTTTATAAAGAGAATGGTCCATGTAAAGGTGTTCACACAGTGACTATTGAAAAATTAAAAACAATATATTCCATTCATTAATAGACCTTTTTCATTAGCCTTCCAATTAAAAGTATGGGGCTGCCCAACAACTAGACTCAAATTAGAACAGCAAGAGGGCTTATCTAGCATCATTAACTTGATTTCACCTGTGAACTACATTGCCTGTTTACTTTCCAAATCGCATGTCTGTTGCAATGAGACTGCAAAAAACTTTTAATTAGAACCTCTACGACCAGCAAAGAGGGAAAATCCCTTACAACATTCTTCAAAGAAAGTCTATAATTGAATCTCAGTAGCTAGAAGGCATCTACTTACACAATACATTCATTTATACAACGTTAATGTTTTATTTTCAAAATCTTAGTTTTCCCTACATTTAGAAGATGAGTTGTGCCTATTTTAGACTTATTTGGAAGCACTCCATCAATGCAGCTCCTCTGTTGGAAGTGATAATGGAAACACCAGTGTAGACAGGACACATTTTTGGAGGGGGAAGTGGAAGGGGTGCACATCAGGTCATCGAATACTGCTCTTAGCAGCACTACATGAAATGGTAGGAAAAGTGTCAGCAAACATCTGAAGTCTTGTCTGGTAGTGGTGTAATGGAGATTTCCAAATCAAACCTAGCATAAAGAAGGCCTCCACAATTAACTGTTTTCCTCCCAGAAACAAAAATGATTACACAGAAGAACAGTGTACTGCAGCCAAAGGAAATCTCCTTTTTTCCCCCAATAGCTTTTTATTTTTTGTTTCTTTTAAATGAATACACATTTAAAATGTACAGACTAGTAGCAGGGTTGGAGAGAAGGAAGAGAGGATGGAAATGCTTGGGTGTGGAGGAAAAGGAAAGAAACCTTTCACCAGTTATCACTAACTAAAAGCCCTATAGAGAATCAAAGGCAACAACACACAAGATACATCCACACCTCTCTTCTTCCTAGAGCTCCTCCTACCATTTATATTTTTCACACATATGAGGACATTACAGGATTATATACAACCTCTGTGTATATACCACATTTGATTAAACCTGTACAGATCTCTCGTTATGCAACCTTCTGCCTTAGAAGACAAGAGTATCCTCAAGTATATCAAAGAATGGCAGAGTTTTGCTCCCCTTCAACAGGAAGCAACCACAGTGAAAACAACTGAGGTTCGGGATCCCTTCCAGGAGTCAGTAGAAAAGGGCTTCATACTCACACCTTCCTCCTCAAACACAGATACATACCACAGTGCACACAGCCCTCCCAGGACATAAACATACTCCCATTCCCTTCCCTCCTACTCACTTACCGCAACCCCTTCTCACTCACCCCTGGCTCCTCCCCTCCCCCCCAACACCCCTCAGCCTTCCCCGCCACACCCCTCAGCCTTCCCCCCCTGCACTGTACCCCTCCCCCCAGCTTTCCCCTCCCACCTCCCCCACACGCCTCAGCCTTCCCCCCTGCACTGTACCCCTCCCCCCAGCTTTCCCCTCCCACCTCCCCCACACGCCTCAGCCTTCCCCCTCGCACCGCACCCCCCACCCTTCAGCCTTCCCCTCCCGCCTTCCCCCTCGCACCGCACCCCTCCCCCCAACACTGAGTCTTCCCCCCAGCCAGGGCACTCGAGTCGCGGAGTGGGGGGAGGGAAGACACTCACCATGGCAGACGCACTACGGCGGGGCCGGTTGTCCTGGTGACAACGAGCCCAGAGCAGCCACTGCCAGGTGCAGAGTCTGCGCGCGCAGCCGAACCCAGGGGGCGAGCCTAGTGGGGCACGTGACCGGGAACACCCCTGCTGATTCGGCCCATCCCCTTCACGTGACCCGAAGGGGCGGAGAGGGGAAGGGAGAGAGGGGTGGGGTCGGGGTGTCACGTGTCCACATCAGAGGTCACGTCTCCGCGCGGAGGCGGAGCCCGCGGGAGTTGGGAGGGGCGGGAGAGGACACGCGGCTTGAATGCAGGGTGGCCGGCGGGGAGGGGGGCGGACACTCTGCTGGCCGCAGCGCCCCCTAGAGGTCTCTGCAGCTCGCCACAATGAGCCGCTGCGGGAGGGGACGCGCCACGTCTCATAGGCGCTAGGCGAAGGAGGTGCGGGAGTCCCAGAGGCGAGCGCGTTCCCGGGCCAGGCGCACGGGCGGTTTCTCCCTGTCCCCGTGAACCTGGCACCTTGTGCCCGTGTAATCCTGTACCAAAGATGTGTAACAGCAGGGGGCCTGTTGGGAACTCCTTTGTGCCTCGCCAGGATTTCCAGGCGCCTGCCCTCCAAGGGTTTTCACTCTCAGGATTTGAAAGAGACCCTCTAATAAGCAGTGTAGGGGTCTGCCCCACGGTAGGAAAGATGGGGGCTGGGGGGAGGGAATATCTTTTATTGGACCAACTTCTATTAGAGAGAGAGAAGCTTTTGAGCCAAAAACATCACTTCACCGACCCTCAGCACCTTAAGATGGCTCAAGGGCTAAGTAATGACAGGATAGTGTGGGTACCCTATGCATAAAACTAGCATTAAAGCCCATGATAACATTCCCGTAGGACCCTTGCACCTTACATCCATTTGGTGTCCTTGCAGGCATCTTGCTAGGGCCTAAATTCTGAAATCTGGGAGATGAGGCTGGTAGAGACAATAGGTCTTAGCAGGTGTTGGTCCATCTTGACCTTTACATTTTTAAGAAACAAAAGACCACAAAAGAAATACACGAACTCACTATTCCCACTTAGGAATGGATTTTTATTCATTCCCTTTACATTGATTAACAATACAAATAGTTTTGTATACACTAGGCCAGAGTCCATAGGGAAGTAGCCTGTGTAACCTTTGGATGGGCTAGAGTTCATTTCATTGCCCTTCTCTAGAGCTTAAAAATTCCAGCTAGGGTTGCTAATTTTCTAATTACACAAACCCAAACATCCTTGCCTCGCCTAAGGCCCTGCCCCACCCCTTCTCTGAGGCCCCGCCCGCATTCACTCACCCTGCCCCGTCGCTTGCTCTACCCCACCCTCACTCACTTTCACTATGCTGGGGCTGGGGGGCAGGAGAGGACTCTGGGCTGAGGCCGAGGGGTTTAGAGTGTGGGAGGGGGTTGGGGTGCAAGAGGAGGTGAGGGCTCTGGCTGGGCAGCGCTTACCTCAAGTGGCTCCCAGAAACAACCGGCATGTCCGGCTCCTAGGTTCGTGGGCAGCCAGGCAGCTCTGCATGCTGCCCCTGCCTCCAGGCATCACCCCCGCAGCTCCCCGGCCAATGGGAACTGCAGAGTCAGCGCTCCAGGCAGCACACAGAGACCCCCTAGCCACCACTTGCCTAGGAGTCCAAGGGACATGTCGGTCGCTTCCAGGAGTCGCACGGAACCAGGACAGGTAGGGAGCTTGTCTTGGCCCCGCTGTGCCACAGACCAGACTTTTAGCAGCTTATTAAAATCTCCTGGATTGCTTTCAATAGCCACAGGGAGATCAATGCTGATTCCGATAGACTCCTGGCCAGTCCAGGAGGGTTGGCTACCCTAAATCCAACTCCCATAGAAAAGCAGCTGCAGACCCAGAATTTAGCCTAAAGAAAAGGAGTACTTGTGGCACCTTAGAGACTAACCAATTTATTTGAGCATAAGCTTTCGTGAGCTACAGCTCACTTCATCGGATGCATACTGTGGAAAGTGTAGAAGATCTTTTTATATACACACAAAGCATGAAAAAATACCTCCTCCCACCCCACTCTCCTGCTGCTAATAGCTTATCTAAAGTGATCACTCTCCTTACAGTGTGTATGATAATCATGGTGGGCCATTTCCAGCACAAATCCAGGGTTTAACAAGAACGTCTGAGGGGGAGGGGGGGTTGGAAAAAACAAGGGGAAATAGGTTACCTTGCATAATGACTTAGCCACTCCCAGTCTCTATTCAAGCCTAAGTTAATTGTATCAAATTTGCAAATGAATTCCAATTCAACAGTTTCTCGCTGGAGTCTGGATTTGAAGTTTTTTTGTTGTAATATCACAACTTTCATGTCTGTAATCGCGTGACCTGAGAGATTGAAGTGTTCTCCGACTGGTTTATGAATGTTGTAATTCTTGACATCTGATTTGTGTCCATTTATTCTTTTACGTAGAGACTGTCCAGTTTGACCAATGTACATGGCAGAGGGGCATTGCTGGCACATGATGGCATATATCACATTGGTGGATGTGCAGGTGAACAAGCCTCTGATAGTGTGGCTGATGTTATTAGGCCCTGTGATAGTGTCCCCTGAATAGATATGTGGGCACAGTTGGCAACGGGCTTTGTTGCAAGGATAGGTTCCTGGGTTAGTGGTTCTGTTGTGTGGTATGTGGTTGCTGGTGAGTATTTGCTTCAGGTTGGGGGGCTGTCTGTAGGCAAGGACTGGCCTGTCTCCCAAGATTTGTGAGAGTGTTGGGTCATCCTTCAGGATAGGTTGTAGATCCTTAATAATGCGTTGGAGGGGTTTTAGTTGGGGGCTGAAGGTGATGGCTAGTGGCGTTCTGTTATTTTCTTTGTTAGGCCTGTCCTGTAGTAGGAGACTTCTGGGAACTCTTCTGGCTCTATCAATCTGTTTCTTCACTTCCACAGGTGGGTACTGTAGTTGTAAGAATGCTTGATAGAGCTCTTGTAGGTGTTTGTCTCTGTCTGAGGGGTTGGAGCAAATGCGGTTGTATCGCAGAGCTTGGCTGTAGACGATGGATCGTGTGGTGTGGTCAGGGTGAAAGCTGGCGGCATGTAGGTAGGAATAGCAGTCAGTAGGTTTCCGGTATAGGGTGGTGTTTATGTGACCATCGTTTATTAGCACTGTAGTATCCAGGAAGTGGATCTCTTGTGTGGACTGGACTAGGTTGAGGTTGATGGTGGGATGGAAATTGTTGAAATCATGGTGGAATTCCTCAAGGGCTTCTTTTCCATGGGTCCAGATGATGAAGATGTTATCAATATAGCACAAGTAGAGTAGGGACGTTAGGGGACGAGAGCTGAGGAAGTGAAAGAATTCAGCCTAAGAATTTTCAGCAAGGATTGCACAGGGTCAACCTCCCTCCGCACATTCAAATCTCCAAAAGAACAAAAAGAATTAAGTATCAACATTATAAATCTTAACATAAAGAAAAAAACAAATAATAATAATAACAATGTTTACAACATATCATGGCTATTATCTTCAGTTATACATAAACTTAAAAGAAAACTAAATATAAACAGGTCAGTCCCCACAGAAACACAGTGAGAAGAAACTCAGAGTTCCCAAAAGTTTTCGTTGAGCTCACTTGAGTCTCAGTTAGAGTCTTTGATCACCAAATCTATACAATGTGCTGAGTCAAAAGAAAAATCTTCCCTCCATTTGCTTGTAGGAATCTTCAGCTGCAATCCAAGCAGACTCTTCCACTTCCTCTGCTGAAATCACTGTTAGCCAGTCAGCTAACTGATTATCAACCACTCAGTTATGTATATATATATATATTTTTAAACACCTGTTACAAGAAAATACAAAACTGAGAGTAGCAAAATATAAATGACTCTGTTGCCGGCACCCAGTGCCAAGAGGCAAAACAACAGCAGGGGTTGGTTCGCTACCCGGTGTGCTTCACCCAATAATCACAACGGGGTGGAGAAGCAGAAAAGTTTATTTGACGCTTCAAAAAGGTACAGGGAAAATAGAATCTCAAATCCTGCACACAGAGCAGGAAGTTACACAGGCTTTTATACATCCTTTCTTCAGCATACTTATCCAATAGCAAGCTGCCCTAAGTATCCATATAGCCAGCCAATCCAGTTACCAGCTAGTTCCCTTGTTTTTTGTATCATTTGTTAAACTATACATAAAGCTTCTTTATTCAGCATTGTTCTTCCATATCTGCCCTGTTTGGTCTTGTTTAGTTTCAGGCAGTCTGACTCTGCAACATATTGTTGCAGATCCTCAGCATAACTGCTGTGAGTGCCTCCCAGGCGGGGGGGCCAAGGACACTTGGACCTAGTACACAGAGCTGCTGCGAGTGCCTCCAGGCGGGAGGGGGTGGGCCAAGGACACTTGGGCCTAGTGCGAGGGGGCTTCATCGACACTCGTGGTCTTCCATCCCCTCGAGTTACCTAGTGGCCATGCCCCAGTGTCCCCAACAACTCTTTCCTCATTATCATATTAAAGAGAAGTTGGTGAATCAGACTAGCTGAGACAATTTAACTAAAACAGTTTGGCTAAAATCAAACAACATTCAAAGTGTACAATTAAAGTAAAAAATGAATTTTCCCTCCCAATTTCCCCTTTCTATAATTAACATTGCCCATGCTTTCCTGTTGGAGGGTTAACAATAATCACTAACCTACTTCAAAATGCATCAGAGTTAAGGTAAACAGCCTGCTTTCTACTCCTGGGTTCAGCTTCTCTCAACTCGCACAGGGCACATGGCCTTTTGCAAAGTAGCTGCCTTGATTACTTGCCCTCATGGAGTCTGATCCCAGCAACAGGGAACCTAGTGGAGCATATCCAAAACCACCATACCCAATTCCAGCAACTTCTGGGTGTGGAGTCCTAAGTCTGCCTAGCAACAAAGACCCAGACACAACTCAGTCCTACCCAGCCTCCCACCATAGATATCTTAAAGAGATATCTCCCTATTAGGCACGTGGGTTACACATGCACACACCATACAGCTACCTTTCTAAAGCCAATCTCTTGTTTTCCAGAATCTGAATTTTCATTTAATAGATTCATAGATTCCAAGATCAGAAGGGACCATTGTGATCATCTAGTCTGTCCTCCTGTATAGCACAGGCCATAGACCTTCCCTAAAAT